AGGCGAAACCGCACAAGCCCAAAGGAGCAGGGTTGGCCAAGTCGTGCTTGGGAGGAGGGCTTAAACCGGGGTTAAGTGTACCACCAAAGGCCGAAACCAAGTCAGCCTTGGTGAACTTTTCGTTGCCAAAATGAATGAACTCATCATCGTGCACCACTCTGGTGATGTCTGAGTGAGAAGTCAGCGCCTGTGCGGGGGCTGAGGAGTTGTTCTGTTCCACTACCAAGGTGTGGTTGCGAGGCTGCTGTGATTCCAAATCGGACATGGAGGAGAAGGACTTATCTTGAGAACTGAAGTAGACCATTTGCTGGGGATCACTCATTTTATATGTCAGGAGGGCGTGTGGGGCAGAGCTAGCGGGTGCAAAAAAAAATTCGACTTGCAGCCAAAGGAAAAACGCAAGATGGGTGGGGTTTCCGAGGGTTGAGGGACCACGAGTTCCGAGGGGCGATTATGCTCGAGGAGGGGGTCGAGGTATTATATGTCTTAAGTCAGAAAAGAGGGGCAAGTCTTGGTTTTTATACCAGTGCTACCACGCCACAAAATAGAAGCCCCGTGCGGTGGACAGCCGTGGTACGATGTCCGAGGCGGTCGCCTGTTTGCAGCGGTGGTGGTGAGGTGACGTGCGTATACCGCAGAAAAAGCAGCAGGGCGGTGTCTTGGCGACTTCCGAGGGCTCCCAAAGCCGATGCGTTTGCGGGTGGGCTGGGAGCGAGCCCCCGGAACTCAAAAGTCCGAAGCTCAGGTCCCAAGGCTTTTGGGTTTGGTCGTCTCGGTGCTAGCGTTGTGGGGAATCCAGGAACCCCATAACCTGACGCCGAAACTACCGCCTCTTTCACCAAACACCCTTTTGCATCGGTGCATTCCGCCGCTTGCTTGTCACTACGGTGTTTCCGTTTTTCGGTGCCGCTGTCACTGGCCAGACGCTAGCCAAGCAACGCCCTAAGCCAGCGGCTTCGAGTGCAACTTCACTTCTCACATTTCCGCAAAACCCAACCATGGCACCACCACCACAACCCGTCTCCTAACCATTCTTGGTGTCCCCAAGCTCCTCTTGGTGAACCCGTGTGGGGCTACACTCTTGGACAATTAGTAGAAATTCCTATAGATCGCGGGGCCCCACACGGCCCCCACTGGCATTGTATAACCTGAGCTTGGTGTGTCCTGCCTCTTTGGACAATTTCCTCAGCTCTGCCCCAGTCCTGCCTAGGCAGACTCTCTCTTCACGATCCGAGCTATCGCACGAAGCACCGAGAACTGCTTGAAGTGCCTCTGGATGCAAAATTCGCAGAACCACAAGGGGCACCAGAAACGCAAGAAATGCAAAAGATACGCCCTTGAACCGCGGTAGATGTTGAATCCAACGTCGCGCTTCTTTGTGATTTGTCCGGCAACCTGGTTGGCGTATCTTTCGGCACTGATGCTGGTTTTGGGGTTTCTACTCATGTTGGCCGACGCCAAAATGCTCTCGTACACTCCCGGCACGTTGTAACGGTCTGTGAGCAAAGATGGTGTAGACAACGGGTCGCAAATGGCCGTGTTTACACCGCCTGTAATCACACTGTGCACCTTCACTCCGAAGGGCTTCATTTCACCTCTCAAAGTAAGCGCATACTGGTCAATGGCTGACTTGGTGGCATTGTAGGCCGCAACCCAAGAAAGGGGCACTCTTGCAGCGACAGAACTCGTGAAAACGATGGTACCTTTGGCCTCGATCACCAAGTCACTGAAGTACTTTGTCACGTACATGTGGCCCAAAACGTTCACGTCAAAGAGAAGACGCAATTTGTCGTCGTCATACTCGATAGCCGGGCCTCCGAGGTTGCTGATACCGGCATTGTTGTATAAAATGTCCAAACGGCCGCCTGTGATTTCTCTGACCTTGGAAGCGGCAGCTTCCACATCTTTGGGTTTGGTGATATCTAAGGCCAAAGGAATGAGCCCAATCTCCTGTTGCAAAGGCTTCATACCCCACAAGTCCCTCTCTGGACTAACACCGATAATTGTGTAGCCCCTCTTGTGGAGCGCAAGAGCCATTTGGTAGCCAATGCCCGAGGAGGCACCCGTAATCAAAGCGTACTTAGTCATTGTGGTTTAAGCACTAGCAGTCTCGCTGTTATTTAAGTTTGGGTTTGACGCATGTGACCCTGCTGAGGGGTCCGCTACAATTCCAGTATTGTTGGGAGCTGTCATGCACGTGATCGAGAGTTGTTTCTTTACGCTATCTCCGTTGCAAATCCAACGGTTTTTTCAGAAAAGGTGGTTAGAAGGATACTCTGGTGAATTTCAAGTGTGATGTTGAATTTTGGAAAACTTTGGTGATGGACGGGTGCTATTTTGGAGGGCAGTTTCTTCGTATGCATCTTTTCGTTAGATGCTAATCAGTGGCTGCGAAAAGTGTAAATACTCCTATTTGTGCATCTGCACGCGGAGTCTGTCCGGATAAATATGCTCCAAAGTAGACTTCAGGAACAAAAAAAAAATAAAAGTACAACTTAATCATAGGTAATGAAATAAATCTCCATTTGATTACAACAGCTTTCGCTTCACTGACGTAGCAAACATCCAAAACAATCAATTCCGTCTGTACTACCCAGCTCAGTAACGCTTTGCTTGTGATATTGAAACTTCTCGAGTCAGCTCACAATGGCGTGTTACTTTGGTTAGAATCACAATGTCCTGTGGCCTGATGCGACCATGTGAGAGTTGCGATGGGCTGATTTTTCAATCAACGTTATCGGGAACTTCATCAGATAAATGCAATTCAAAAGCGTCTATGTGCTCCATTGAGCTATTCGGCCTTGGTCTACATCTTGTGAGCTTGAGAGCCTCCATACACCACCGTAAAGGTACCCGCCTTCGGCGCTCCCTACGCTACAAATCTTTTCATTAACAAATCGAAGACCTCCTTCCCATAGCAACAGCAATCAGCTCTTCAGGGGTTATATATGTGACGTTTCAGATTTCTTGCTGGAGCGAGCAGTCCCAGATCCATGCATCGAAGACGCTGGCGCGAGTCATAACTTCCCAATTGGGTCGCATTGTAAACATACAACTCCCTCACTTCTCACTGACATAACACTAGATACAACCACCACATCTTCTTCTTCATGGCCTTCCTCCGTAGTCCCCGCCACAACAGGGCCGTGGACATGGCCGACATTTCCCAGTCGTTGGAGAATGTCTCGTTCCAATCCAACATGATGGACGTGGACGCCTCCTACAAAACGCCGGTGAAGGAGCCCTACAACAAGGAAAACATCACCCCGATCAATTCACCCACAAAGCTGGTACTCCACACTCTGCCATTGGGCAAACTGCAGCCATTGACGCCCCAGGCTCACAACATCAAACTTCAGAATGACATCAACAGGCTCCAGCCTCAGAACTCGTTCTTGGGACCTGACTTCCACTCCAAAGCAAACGCTGCAAAGACAAAGAGACTCACCCTGGTGGCGCAGCTTTACTTCTTAGACTACTATTGTGACATGTTCGATTACGTTATCTCCAGACACGAGAGGTCGAAGTTAGTGGAAGCTCGTTTGCAAAGCGATCCAAACTACTCCGCTAACCCCAAGAGAGCCCAGTTAGAGTGGAAGAGCTATGTGGGAAGAGAAAGAGCTCTTCTACGCAAACGCAGAATCAAGCCTAAACATAAGGATTTCGAAATGATCACCCAGGTTGGCCAGGGCGGTTACGGTCAGGTGTTTTTGGCGAGAAAGAAGGATACCAGAGAAGTGTGTGCGTTGAAGGTTTTGAATAAGAAACTTTTGCTCAAGCTTGACGAGACCAGACACGTTTTGACAGAAAGAGATATCTTGACGAATACCCGTTCCGACTGGTTGGTCAAGTTGTTATATGCTTTCCAGGACGCCGAAAAGGTCTTCTTGGCCATGGAATTCGTTCCTGGTGGAGACTTCAGAACTTTGCTTAATAACACCGGATATCTCATTCCACCACACGCAAGATTCTACATTGCTGAAATGTTCGCCTCGGTCAACTCCTTGCACGATCTTGGATTCACGCATCGTGATTTGAAACCAGAGAACTTCTTGATCGACTCCAAGGGCCATATTAAATTGACCGATTTTGGCTTGGCCGCTGGTACTGTCTCCAATGACAGAATCGAATCCATGAGAGTGAAGTTGGCTAACTTACAAGATTTAGACCACTACGAGGTACCATCCAAGCTCATGTACGAGCGTCAAAAGATTTTTAAGCAGTCTCAGGGACACCATAACCTCGCCAACTCTATTGTGGGATCTCCCGACTACATGGCTCTTGAGGTTTTGGAAGGCAAGAATTACGACTTCACCATTGACTACTGGTCTTTGGGTTGCATGCTTTTCGAAGCACTTTGCGGATACCCACCTTTCAGTGGAAGCAAGCAAGATGAAACTTACTACAACTTGAAGCACTGGAAGAGTGCCTTGAGAAGGCCGCAAACCAGAGACGGGCGTTATGTCTTCTCTGACAGAACATGGGCCTTGATTACCAAGTTAATTTCCTCGCCATCCAGCCGTTTGCGTAATTTCAAACAAGTCCAGGCTCAACCTTACTTCAACGATATTCGTGATTGGGAGCACTTGAGATCTAAGACACCACCATTCACTCCACAGCTAGATAATGAGGAGGACGCTGGATACTTCGATGACTTTGAGGATGAAGAGAGCATGGCAAAATACAAAGATGTTTTCGCCAGACAAGAGCAAAACGAGTCACTTTTGGATGGCTCGAAAGCGTCTGGCAGAAACATTGCCAACAACAACTTCATCGGTTTCACGTTCAAGCACAAGCTGAACCCTAACAACAGATTCCAGAATGGCGAGATTAACTTGCTCGCAGGCGGACAAGGCGACGGAAGGTTGGGTGGCTTCGGCGGCAACCGCTTAGATCCCTTGGCTACATTGTACTAGATCCCCCTTCTTTCTTACTATCCTTCTTTGGTGCTTGATTTCTTGAGTTTATATTATCATTACATGACCGGTTATATTCTAACATCAGCTTGACCAAATAAAGTCTTGTTTCACCTTGCTCTCAATAAGTGGACGCTGAATCGTCTTGTGGATCTTTTGACAAGAGCTGGAGGCAAGTTCTATGACGCGAAAGAGCTGCTCTTCGGAAAAGGAGCCATCACTTTCCACGAGCAAAATTTTATGGGCCTTTTTGTCTCGTATGTCAAAGCATACGACATGATGACTAGAGCTGTCTTGAAGTTGTTTCAAGGTTGGGCTTTCGATGATTTTACCCTCGTTGTCGATAGCAACGGAAACAGATGCAAAGGAATTATAAAGAGCGACATTGGCGTCAATCAAAGCAAAAAAACAAGCATTAAGGGCGGCACTGAGCTCATTCGATGTGAATGCACCACCAGAAGCTGCTGTATCTCCGGAAACCACAATAGAGCCTTCTCTGTCGACATCGGTGGTGAGAAACTGAACGACAATCTGGATGAGTTGACGAGGATAACGATAACGCACTATGACCAGCTGTAGTACGGATCTAAGTAAGTCTTCTAGAACCTTTTCTCTTGTTGCACTGACTCCTCGGCTCGGACGAACCACTATTTCTAAACTCGCTTGTGTTGGCAACTCTTGTCTGGGTTTGGCTTCGATTGGCCCCGCTGCAGATACAAGCACGACTGTATTTCCAATAGACACTCTCGCTGAGCCATCCACCTGGCCCAACTCTGATAACTGAACTTTTAGACCACTCATTATCCTAGCAGGTCTTGATGCTGAAAGACTCAAACTATGCGGCATAGCAGTATCGCCGATGAGGTCACGTGCGCACTGGCCTAGTAGCGATACCTACAACCGGGGAGATGTACCACTTATCATATGACCGAACAACCTAATTATGAAGAAGATTTGCTAGCGGATCTCCAAAGTGGCTCTGAAGATGAGCTAGATTTGAAGGAAACCGAGGAGTCTGTTTCTGATGTCCCACAAACTGCATTTAATGGAGAGAACTGGCAGGACCTACTACATGCTTCTCATCTACACAATGTGGGGCATAAACTAGAACAACTAGATGTGGCGAAAGTCAAAGATCCGGATGAGTTAAGCTCAGTGAGAAGATTGATTCCGCAAATACGAGAACAGTTGATAACATATTCCAATGAACATGAGACCGACTACATGGAGTTGTTAGCCTCGGTAAACGACGAAAATCAGAGTGAGGAATTCAAGTTTCTAATGTCACTTAGTGAGTTGCCTACTCTCATTCACGATGAAATCAGCTTTCTTCATAGATTTGTCAGAACGCAATATAAAGTGGTCTTTGGCGAGCTTGAGTCGCTTGTGCCCAGTCCTGTGGACTATTGTCGTGTGGTACTTCTAGTGGGGCAGGAACTTTCAGATATCCGGAGCAAAGAGCCGGAGCTCCAAAAAATTGTCTCGAACGCTAAGGTTTTAGCTATCTCGATGGCTGCGTTGGAAAACTTCACGCGCCTGTTTTCTTTGAATGATGCTGATATGCTCTTCATCCAGAAAGCATGTAAAATTGCAATTGAGCTCAACGAGTTTATCAAAGAAGTCTCAGACTTTGTTTCAAGCAAGCTTTCAAAGTTTGCCCCCAATGTCAACAACCTAGTTGGTGCTGTGGTCACCTCCCAACTATTGATCAGTGTTGGCTCACTACGACAATTGGCTCTTACACCATCGTGCAATCTACCGTCTTTCGGTGTGAAAGACCTTCTGTCCCAGCTTCAAAGAAGATCACATTTCGTCAGAGCAACGGGCTACTTGTACTATAGTGACTTGGTGGTGGGTCTCCCACCGGAAGTCATAAACCAGGCACTCAGGATTATCAGTGGCAAGATTATTCTTGCTGCCCGTATTGATCTTTCAGGATCCAAACCGGACGGTAGTTTAGGTTCTGCTTACCTTCAAGAAATCAAGCAAAAGATAGACAAGCTTCTAACTCCCCCTGACAGAACAGCTCCGAAGGCGTTGCCAGTGCCTAAAGAGCAAAAGTCAAAAAAGCGTGGCGGCCGAAGATTTAGGAAGATGAAGGAGAGAACCCAAATGTCTGAGATCCGAAAGGCTCAGAATAGGATGGAATTTGGAAAGGAAGAGACATCTGTCGTGGATGCCTTTGGTGAAGAAGTCGGTCTCGGTCTAAGCAAACAAATTGATGGGGTGAGAGCAAACAGAAATACTGATGCTCGTTTGTCAAAGGCTATGGTCAACCGACTTAACCAGCAAAAGGAAAGATCCAATGACTTAGACACGATAGTATTCGCTAGAGATGATGCGGAAGGCGAGAAAAATGACAAGCCGAAGCACGAAAGAAGCTCTTGGTTCTCTGGAATCAAGAGGAATCGATTTGCCGACTTGGATCTGGATGAGGAGGACACCAAAAGACAAAAAAGTTGAGGATGCAAAGGCTGCGAAACACAGAACCGGTCTTCACAAGCACAATTGGTTGCGGTCGCCTCAACAGAATTGCATATGAAAAAGCAAGAATAACTAAATTTTATATAATTTAAAGTAATATCTTGGTGGTTGCAAAAGATCACGGTGTACGGATGTGAGTCGCTTTACATACTAAAATTTTTTCCATGAAGGATCAAGTGAATGCTCCCTAGGAAACTTCCCTTCAGAAATCTCCATTATAGACCCCGACTTTATAGGCATTTCTGGACTCCTAGACCATTGAATTTTGCAAAAATGTCGGAAGAAGATAAAGTGAATGCTTCCTCGGCTCAGGCTCAAGCCCCAGCTGCGGAGGAAACTAAGAAAGAGAAGACCCCAAAGCAGTTGGAGAACGAGAGAAAGAAGGCTGAAAAGATGGCCAAATTTTTAGCCAAGAAGAAGAAGCAAGAGGAGGATGCTAAGAACAAGAAGCCTGCTGAGAAGAAACCCAAGAAGGAGAAAAAGGTCGCTGAGCCTGTTCCTGAATGGAAAGACGAGACCAAGCCAGGTGAGAAGAAGATTTTGGCTTCTTTGGACGACGCTGCTTTCAAGGCGTACAACCCCAAGAATGTTGAAAGCTCCTGGTACGCTTGGTGGGAAAAGCAGGGCTACTTCGAGCCAGAACTTGATGAAGGAAAGATCAAGAAAGAAGGTCAATTTACGATACCCGCTCCTCCACCAAACGTCACCGGTGCTTTGCACATTGGACATGCTTTGACCATTGCAATTCAGGATACTTTGATCAGATACAACAGAATGAAGGGTAAGACCACTTTGTTCTTGCCTGGTTTCGACCACGCAGGTATTTCCACTCAGTCCGTTGTGGAGAAGCAGGTTTGGAAGAACGAAAAGAAGACTAGACATGACTATGGTCGTGAAAAGTTCGTCGACAAGGTTTGGGAATGGAAGGAAGAGTACCATGCAAGAATCAAGGACCAGGTCAAGAGATTGGGTGCTTCCTACGATTGGACCAGAGAGGCCTTCACTTTGAACCCTGACTTGTCCGCTGCTGTGGTCGAGGCTTTCGTCAGATTGCACGAAGATGGCACCATTTACCGTGCCTCTAGATTGGTCAATTGGTCGACGAAATTGAACACTGCCATTTCTAACTTGGAGGTTGAGAACAAGAACATTTCCGGTAGAACCTTGTTGTCTGTGCCAAACTATGATGAGAAGATTGAGTTCGGTGTTTTGACCTCTTACTCGTACCCAGTCGTGGACTCTGACGAGAAGATCACCGTTGCCACCACAAGACCTGAAACCTTGTTCGGTGACACTGGTGTGGCTGTTCACCCTGAGGACCCTCGCTACAAGCACTTGCATGGCAAATTTGTTCAGCACCCATTCTTGGACCGTAAGATCCCAATTGTCACCGACTCTGAGGCTGTTGACATGACTTTCGGTACTGGTGCTGTGAAGATCACTCCAGCACACGACCAAAACGATTACAACACTGGTAAGAGACAGAACCTTGAGTTCATTAATATCTTGACTGACGACGGTTACTTGAACGAGAACTGTGGTGAATGGAAGGGAATGAAGAGATTCGATGCCAGAGCCAAGGTCATTGAGGAATTGAAGAAGTTGGACTTGTACGTTGACCAGAAAGACAACGAGATGACTATTCCAACCTGTTCCAGATCTGGAGATGTGATCGAGCCATTGTTGAAGCCTCAATGGTGGGTCAAGCAAGATGACATGGCCAAGGAAGCTATCAAGGCTGTCAAGAGCGGTGAGATCACCATCACCCCACAGTCTTCCGAGAAGGAATACTTCCAATGGTTGGAGAACATCCAGGACTGGTGTATTTCCAGACAATTGTGGTGGGGCCACAGATGCCCTGTTTATTTCGTCAACATCGAGGGCAAAGAGGGTGACCGTTTGGACAACAACTACTGGGTTGCCGGTAGATCCTACGAGGAAGCTTTGGAAAAGGCCGAGAAGAAGTTCCCTGGTGTCAAGTTTACTTTGGAGCAGGACGAGGATGTTTTGGACACCTGGTTCTCGTCTGGTTTGTGGCCAATTTCTACTTTGGGCTGGCCAAACCAGAGCGAGGATCTCAAGCTCTTTGCTCCTATGTCCATGTTGGAGACTGGTTGGGATATTTTGTTCTTCTGGGTTTCTCGTATGATCTTGTTGTGTTTGAAATTGACTGGTAAGGTTCCCTTCAAGGAGGTGTTCTGCCACTCTTTGGTCAGAGATGCTCAGGGAAGAAAAATGTCCAAGTCCTTGGGTAATGTGGTTGACCCATTGGATGTCATCAGTGGTATCTCCTTGGCCGACTTGCACGAGAAGTTGAAGGTTGGTAACTTGGATGCCAGAGAAATTGAGAAGGCATCTGCTGGTCAAAAACAGTCATACCCTAACGGTATCCCAGAATGTGGTACTGATGCCTTGAGATTCGCTTTGTGTGCCTACACCACCGGTGGTAGAGACATCAATTTGGATATTTTGAGAGTTGAGGGTTACAGAAAGTTCTGTAACAAGATGTACCAGGCCACCAAGTTCGTCTTGGGTAGATTGGGCGCAGACTACAAGCCTCCAGCAACTCAGAAGAGAACTGGAAACGAATCTTTGGTTGAAAAGTGGATCTTGCACAGATTGACCACTGCTACCCAGAGCTTCACCGAGCACATCGAGAAGCGTGAATTCTCTGAGACCACAAGCGCAGTCTACAACTTCTGGTACGACTTGTGTGATGTGTACATCGAGAACTCCAAGCACTTGATCCAAGACGGTACTGCCGAGCAGAAGAAGTCTGCTCAGGACACCTTGTACACTTGTATTGATCAAGGTTTGAAGATGATCCACCCATTCATGCCTTATGTCACTGAGGAAATGTGGCAGAGATTGCCACGTAGATCTGGCGACGAAACGCCATCCATCACCATCGCTCAATTCCCAGAGTATGATGCTTCATTTGACGACAAGGAGGCTCACGATGCTTATGAGTTGGTGTTGGCTATCACCAAGGGCGCCAGATCCTTGCTTTCTCAGTACAACATCTTGAAGAATGGTCAAGTTTACGTTGAGACTTCTGACGAGAACGTTAGAAAGATTGCCAAGGATCAGGACCACTCAATGGTGTCGTTGATCAAGGGTGTGGAGAAGATTGAGGTGTTGGAGGCCGGCCAGCCCGTTCCTAGCGGATGTGCATTGAACGGTGTCAATGCCAGCACCAATGTGCATGTTTTGGTTAAGGGTCAAATTGACTTGGACTCCGAAATTGCAAAGGTTACCAAGAAATTGAGCAATGTCAGAGAGTTGGACGGTAAGTTGAAGGATTCGATTGGCAAGTTTACCGACAAGACGAAACCTGAAGCCAAGGAGGCTGCCTACAAGAGACAGGAGAACTTCAAGGCAGAAATCGAGGGCTACGAGCAGACGATCGCTATCTTGGAGAAGTTGAAGCTTTAGAGCACGTACATAGATAATTTGATAAGCACGATAATTTGGTGCCGTACGGAACCGCGCGAAGCCATTCCGAGCCAATGCCACATTATGTGGATACACACTTTGACGGCCAGGTCAACTAGAAAAGAGGGGTTAGCCGTAAAAGCAAGAAGCCTGGGAGGCTTGGTGAGACAAGCAGATTATCGATGTGATCGTCAATTGACAACCGTGATTGCAAATTTCAACTGAGATTGACATCCATTACCATTGCATCACATGATGCAACGAAGCTTATAGGCATGTTCAACGTCAGACATTATCCATCATACATAAAATATTTTGTTGGAAAAAAATGGGGCTGTGGCGGAGGCTGGGCAATGGGTGAACATGATAATCTGTACAACGCGGCTGGTTAGGAGTCATTGCAGAAGAAGGAATGCTGCGAAGGAAACACAATAGTATTATGCGAGCAATGGTCATTGTGCAGCACAGCTTCCGCATAACTGGGGACACCAGGGCGTTAACCAGCAAGCACACGGCCTATCTTGGCTAAGCGGGGCTGCAAACTGGACATGCGAAGGAAGGAAATGCGGTTTTTTTAGGCAGGTGAAAAACAACCCGACCAGCGCACTTTGACGTTTTCATGCGGAAATACCGCACATGTGGCTGCATTGCATTACACAATAACCCCCAGCCCGTGCGACAAAGGTCCCGATAGGTAGATCCTGGCCGTGCTGGCAAATTGACGTAATGCCAGTTCGGTCAATAAGACCCCGTGTAGGACACGACAGGAATGGGTATAAATACGGGGCTTCCCCCAGCTTTCTTTGCAGTATATCCATCAATTACTACAACAATGAGCGGATTCAACGATCTTTTGAAAAAGGGTGAGCTGGCTCTCGGCGGCGGCAAGGACGGTAAGGGTCCAGACCTCTCTAACATCCAGAAGGATGCTCAGCAGGCCTACGACACTTTCAACAAGACCGAAGGCTCTGCTACCGACAAGGCTAAGGCTGCCTACTCCGAGTTCTCCAGCAAGTCTGGCGACTCCAAGGAGTCTTCTGAGAAGAAGGAGTAAATTTTATAGTTAATGTACTATTACTCTTCCCACTGATTGTAGAGCCACACTGCACTGGATAAGGGTTGTGTCCGAGGAGGCTGGTTGCAACAATTGACGATATATGCGTGCCAAAAAGAGGCTACTAAGTTTTGGAAAGCTCAATTGACTCTTTCAAATCTGAAAATGACATTTTTTGCATGAAAGTTCAATTTTGTAGGTGCTTTCAAAATGTGAGCGAATGCTAGAAATTCGCGTCGCGTATCATGGAAAACTCGCGCTTTCCAACTCCATCTCAAGATCATGGACCACTTGTCTAAAGACTTTCTGGCAATAGATTCAGCCTTAAGTCTACATTTTTCCTCCAGCATAACAATTCCAAAGCTTTTCCACATATGTCAAAAAGCTACATCACTCGCTGGCAGGAAGATCTCGAATTCCACAGTTGAGCATATATTAGCTGTGGATGATCTGTTATTCAAGATAAGCTCACAGAAAGGGTCCTACGATTACGGAATTTCAGTGAACGTGCCTTTGTCAAAGTATGGAACGCTTCTATCTCAGCGACGTGAACTTTTTGAGAAAAGACTTGCAGAAGTGGATCCGATTTCACCCATAAAGCTCAGTGAGGTTGCAGTACTAGAATCACCAGTGAAGTGCTCTCCACATAGATCTCCAAGCACATCTCCCACAAAAGTTACCAAGTACAAGCATATAGACGGTCTCAAAAATGATAGGTCGAAGTTTGCCTTTCAAGAAAAGATCAGCTCATTAGAGACCTCAAAGGCCAACGGATTATCGTTGTTGGAGCGCATCAAGCTCAAGGAGCGCATGAATTCAAAAGTTGATATTGGTCAGAAGAAAAAAGACGACTACGATAGCTACATCAGAACCAAACTGCCACAAATCTATGACATAATTTACGAACTCGCATCAGTGGCGTCCGTCAATGCATCACAGAGCTTTACCTTGAGTAAAGTCATCTCCATAATTAAAGACTCATCGGTTTATGCCACATCTGAATCCGAAATCCAAGACGTCATCAACGACATCGAGATGAAGTTGGGCAAAGAAAGACTACAATTGATTGAAAGAAATCACAATAAGGTGATTAGGGTATTCAATCTTAATAGAGAAGAGGACTTACAACTCCTCCGCAAGGATAATTAATGAAACGCTTTAATTCTAACTATGTAATTATGAGGCTTGTCTATAAAACCAAGCTCTAAAAGTCTCTGTCACAAATGTCAGCGGCAGCAGAGTTCATGAAGAAGTGCTTGAGAACAATTTCAACAAGCCATGTTCCGCCCAAGTCCAAGAGAATGCATCCAGTCAACTTACTCTTGAAAACAACGTCCATAGGCACAAACTGCATGGCCTCATTCAACTCGGGCATAAATTCAGTCGAGCCAGCCAAAGTCAAACCCGCGACACCCAAAAGACCGTACCACATACCCTTGTTATCCTTGATACTGTCCTTGAAGGGCAAACCAATGTAGTTGACGGCAAAAGTTGACACTTGCTGGGCCAATTGAAGCAAAAACATACCAGTGTTCAACAAAGATGGCTCGAAGACCTTCTCCAAGTCAACTTGAGGTGCTCTTGGCTCCAAGGCGTAGATTTCCATGGTGATGTAGATCAAGGTCGCAATGTGGATGGCAAATTGACCCAAAATGGAGCCCATGATGTAAATGTTGAAGATACCGTCCTGTGGTCTCTCCTTACTCAATTTCTGAAGGGGTTTACCACGAGAGATACTCAAGAAACAAACCGACAACAAAATTCCGGAGATAGTAGATTGGGCATCACCAAACTTCATACCAGACAAGAATAAAACAGACAAGGAGTATGCAGAAATCAAACAGTTCAAAGCCAAAATCTTGTACATCTGAATAGTGGAGACCAATGCACAACGTCCTTGACGAATGATATTTGTCACAGTCGAAACGCTGGCCAACTTCGAAGTGAATGGAGCAGCAACAGAGGCATCACCCAATTTCAAAGTTGGAACCTCGTCCTCCTCAGGGTCCATGCCACTCATAGAAGTCAAGAGGTTGTCAGCCATCTTACTGGCAGAGGGCTTTCCACTGCTGTCTTTCACGAACTCAATTGGCTGGGTGTTGTTTTGGTTGGCAAGGGCGACCTTTTGTCTCAATTCTGGAGTAATTTCCACACCTCTCTTTTCGAGGGTGGCAATGTAGTGTGGGTTAAGTGGGCCTGGTGGATACAAGTGGGCAATGAGAGCAGGCACTGGTGGTGGTGGTCTGTTCCAGTTGGCCATAATTTGGGCCTGCTTCTCATAAATTGTCTTTTGAGCGGTGATTCTTCTGTTCTCAGCCATCTTCTTCATGCCCTCCTCGGTACCATTAAGCAAAGCGACACCAATGTGAGCTTGCTTCAAGGCACCGACATCGTTAGTACCGTCTCCACACATCAAAGTGCTGTAACCCGCATCCTTCAATGTCGTCAAAATAAATTCTTTCTGGGCAGGAGACACTCTTGCGTAAACCCAAGTGCGTTTCAAAATATCCAAAATCTGGGCATGTTCAGAGAGATGAGTCAAGGCATGGCCAGTAAGACAAATATCGTGCTTCTTGAACAACTCGAGGTCAATAGCATCACCACTCTTGAATGGAATGACTTTAGTTTCCTCAACGTTTCTCCAAACCAAGACTTCACCCTCAGAGACCTCATGGTGCTCTTCAGGGTAATCCAAAATCAAAACTTCCTTCTCGACAATTGCAACCTCCTTAGCAACATGACAAGCAGTCAAGGGGTTGTCACCAGTAATCATAACAGAACGGTGAGAGGACTCATTCAACATCTTGATAGTCTCGATAGCATCAGGCTTCAAGGGACAGTGGAAAACGATAAAACCAGCGAAATGCAATTTAGACTCAATGTCGGCTCTCTTGGCCTTGACGACGTTGACACTAGTGTCCAACTCTTTGTAGCCCAAAGCCAAAACACGGGAACCTGCTCTAGTAAACGACTTAAAGATTTGCTCGTACTGCTCGGGAGCGTCAACCAACATATGACGAATAGTTTCTGGAGCACCCTTAACAGCAACGAAATTCTTATTAGGCAAAGTGTTGATAGAAGTGATAGCCGAAGACCTCTTCAAAGCAGAAGAGAATTGGAAACGACGCAAAATCTTAATTTTCTCGGTCTTACCTTTGGCGGTAGCTCTCTCGACGGAATCCTTCAAACCAACGGTCCAGTTAGCAGCCTTCAAAGTTGCTTGTTCCATTGGATCACCAACGACATCGCCATCATCTAACTTGACAAGAGCATGAGCAGAACCCAAGACCCAAGAAGTAGTCTGTGGGGCCTCGTCACAAGTACGGAGCTTATGAGTCTCGTCTTTGTCAAAACCAGCCAAACCTTCGAAAACCAAATCCTCCGCAGTCAAGGTACCAGTCTTGTCGAAACAGCACACATCAATTCTACCGGCCAATGGAATACGGAATGGCTCAGTACAGTAGATAAAATGCTTTTGCAAACTCGACAACGAAGAGTTGACAGCCATAGTCAATTCCATAGGCAACTCTGGTGGGACAACGGAGGTGATGACGATAATACAGTCCAAAATCAACTTTGACTGAATTCTGCCCATCTTGCTACCCTCAACCCAAACGTACCAGGAAGCAGCAATGGCAAACACCAACAAAAACAAAATAAACATGAAAGCTTCCTTGTTACCAACGGAGACTCTCTCACTGGAAAAAATCATCATTCTAACCAAGGAACCCTGGGAGGTCTCGAAACCTGTCTTACAGACGTATGCCAAAGCACCATCATCAGGAGCGCCAGGAATAATAGATTTCTCGGGCTTAGTGACCTGCAAAGCCATAGTACCACCGTGCAACAAACTGTTCTTGTCCAAACCCTCTGGCTGGAAGAATTCCTCACCAGGTCTCAACTTGATGGACTCTTTCAACAAGGGAGTAGACTCACCAGACAACATAGCTTCATTTACGATGGCAGAGCCGTCGAGCAACAACAAGTCACATGGAATAGCACTGTCTTCGTTAGTTCTTGTAACGGACACAACGTCACCAGGCAATAACTCATCAGTCTGCAACTCAACCCACTTGTTGTTTCTGTAGACATTGATGGCGTATGGCTTAATACCCATGCTCTGGAACTCGTTCATAGTAGTTCTTCTCTGAAACACAGTTGTCATTTCGAAAGACACCAACATGAACAAGGAGAACAAGGAATAGTACCACTGCTCATCCATCAACCACAAGGCAACACTAAACAATTGGAAAACGAAAAAAGGAGCAACAGCGTGCTCCTTGAACAACTCCAAGAAGGTAGGGACAGGAATATCAAACCTGTTCTTACCATAGTTACGTTCAAGTTTTTCCAAGTCACCTTGCAACCCCTTAGAGTTCTGGAAGTACTCGAGCTTAGGCAACTCGTCGATCTTGAACTCTGGAGGGGAGAACTTGCCGGTCTTTTCGTGGAACAAATGACGTCTCTTCTGGTATAAGAAGGAGATCTGCTTCTCTCCGTCAGCAAATCTTTCTCTCTTGATTGGACACATCTCACCCACACCAGCATTCACCACAGGTGTGATCTTGATGTGACTAGCCTCTTCGATAGTTCTGACAGGAGTGAAGTTGAAACGAGCCTCCACATCCAAGTTCCAATGAGGCATAAGCCAGAACAATGCATTGAGGGAACAGATGGTGATCAAGTAGACGAAAGTCCACTCAGATCCACCCACGTACTGATCATAATGGTTGAAGTAAATCTGGAAAAAAATTGGGTAGATAATGGCGAAAGGCCAAACATAGGGCCTCACAATAAGCAGCTTTGGCACTAGAAGCTGTGCATCTTGAATCGTCGGATTTAGAACGACGTCTGACATGATGGGCACAGGCTATGCTCGTATCAAAGACTGAAGAGTATGGAAATTTCCACCGACGTGGATATAGAGGACGCCCTCATATTACACCCGTGCACCCCGAAGATACGAAGTGGACCAAGACAGGAACCTGTAATGACCGTTCAAGATACAATGTCAAAATAATTTTTTTCTACTTAAATAACGACCGAGGTCCAATCTTGAAGCCGCCTTCTTAAGCAAAATCGATGAGGACTAAAGAGAAAACTCACCGTTTTGTTTCTCGTGTACCGGGTAGTCTTCCGTGACGATGGCATCTATAAGCTGGTGTGGGGCCACGTCGAAGGCAGGATTCCACACCTGGATACCAGGCGTGGCAATTCCAACGACTGTCTTTTCACCAATTGATCCATTCTTGCTGACAAGTGGACCTTCCAATGTCGTGAGTTCATGTGGTGGACGCTCTTCGATGACAATATCATCTCCCGTAGCCGTATTGTGATCGACTGTGGTGTTTGGAGCAGCCACAATGAACTTAATCTTGTCCTGCTCATTTGAAGATGTCAGGTTGAAGTAGTTGGCAATAGCTGCCAATTGAAATGTGCCAATCTTATTGGCAGAATCACCATTTTTGACCACACGGTCTGCTCCAACGATAATAAATTTGACGGGAGCCGTAGATGATTTGACAGCCCTTTTTTTAGATAAGGATGATATGAGCGATGTCACCATGTTATCGCAGATCAAGGTAAATGGAATCTTCTCGTAGTTAAGCTCGTAGGTGGTTAATCTGGCACCTTGGTTGTAGGGCCTAGTCTCCAAAGGGTAAGCATGCTCGAACCAAAAGTCATTACCAGCTTCCTTAGTCAATTGAGCGTGTACTGATCTGATAATTCCCAAAGCAGTACCGTGGCCTGAGGTTGCCAATGATCCAGTGTTGCAGACAGTCACAATTGAGAAGGGACCTTGGAAATTCTGCTTTTTCAATGTCTCTGTAATGTACTTCACACCGTTATCACCGATCTTGTAGTTGTTGTCCAAGTCACCCTCATGCAAAGCAACAGAGTACTTCTTGATAACGTCAAAGACAGCCTCATTGACAACTTCGCTGTCCTTGAAACTACTCCTGAGCAATTGCTTGATTTCGTTCAAGGCATTCGAAAGATTCACTGCAGTAGGTCTGGAGGTCACCAAATAGTCAATCTTGTTAACCAACTCAGCCACTGTACGTTTCTCGTTAGCCTGAAGGGATCTATGAACATCAACAGTAACGGTAAAAGCTCCCACAATCGCAATGGCTGGAGCCCCTCTGACTTGCATTAGTTTGATAGCCTGGAAAGCATCGTCTATGGATTCGATATCGATGTAATGAGTCTTGTATGGAAGAAGTAGCTGATCCAAGATTTTCAAAGAATCCAGATTCTTATCAAATACGATAGCTTCAAGCGTTTGTTGACTCATTTGGATTAATGCTATGTAGTTCCCACGTGCTGGATTAGGTAGAAGTTGTGAGATATAGATGGGTGCGAAAAGTATCCACACTTCGTACCTCACCAAAATGCTATACTGTGTGAGTTCTTAGAAAATGAGTCTTCTGATTCCATCAACTTCAAACTCTTGAGTGAGGCTGTTCCATCTACAGCCAAGTAAGCGACGACCAGTGATAGGACAGCGCCCGCCTTTCTCGATATCGGCCTGTTCTGTAGATTTTTCAGATCGCAGCTTATCAACGTCTTTCTCTGTGTCCGGGGTCTCCTCTTCGCCTTCCTCGACTTCGTCCTCATCAACGTCACTTTCGCTCTCGCTATCGCTCACTTCGGCTTTTCTCTTCTTCACATGTTTATGTGATTCAGTTAGGTAGTTGTAAATGCACGTATAGCAGAAGACGTAGCCTGTCTCGATGATGGCTGGATTCAGGATTTCCTGTTTACACAAAGGACAGGTACTGCCAGACTTGTAAATATTCTTTGGCTTCGCTCTGAATAGCTTGAATTTGTCTAGCGAAGCAGGTGTTGGAATACTTCCCTCGAGCGCATTTCCTTGAGACTTAGCCACCTTCTGGGCGAAGTCTGAGTTATTCCACCACTCGAGGAATTTCAACGTGAAGATAGCTAATGGGAAGAATGTTCCCAAAACAAATCTGACAGCTTTCCAGGAAGGACTGGTAATGTATTTGGTGAGAGTGACAAGTTTCTCCAAAACCGATGGAGGTGCAACTCTGTTGGGGAGATGGTCCTTTGGTGCTTTCAAGGCAGGCTGGTTCTTTTGATAGTCGTATTGACTCAATCTCGAGAAGTTGATCTTGAACAAAAACGTGAGCAAGGAGGCGGATTTCGAGTTACCGCTCAAGTATAGAAGTGTGGTGACTAGGTTCCCAGCACGCCAGATACTTTGTATGTAGGGGTAAATCTCGACGAATTTCCTCTTGATCCAAATCTTTCTTCTTTCCAGCTCATCAGTAGCTGCTGATTCATTCAACTGGCCTGTAATATACTTGGAATAGAGTATCTCGTATGTGTAGTTGCACTTCTCAGATAAGTACGATACACCAGTGATTTCGAAAATTGAGACCCACATTTGGTAATTGGAAAGCTTTCTCCTCTCTTCAATCATGCTGGGAGCCAACTGCGTCAATCTGCTGCTGTTGTACTTCTGATCGGATAATGGTGTCTGACTAACTCTCTTCAAGCCGTAGAAGTTCTCGGTGAAAGAGCCCTGCCAGTACTTGAAAAAGTACCATTCAATAAAACTTCTTAATGCCAAATTCAATTCATCAAAGTTATTGGTCACCTTAAGTAAGTAGCCGGGATATCTTTGGGCATAATGGACCAATATATAACGCAACGATGGCGATAGGAGGGATTCAAGCTGGTTAGCTGATATAAGTTCAAAAAGAGTCGGAGTCTCGCGATCAAGCTGAGATGCATCAAGAGATGAATAATACTCCATTTTCCACGGTGTAGCTAGTGCTTTATGTTAGCTTCTTCTCGCTAGTATATATCTCTTTTCCCCACAGATATGGCCGAGGATCTGTCGTGCGCACTCTACCAGAATATGATTTCTCCGCCTAATACGATACTTTTTAGTATGAACGACTTCGATACTCTTAACAAAATTGTAGAAACGCATGATATTAAGCTCAAGGTGCTAGCAGTGTATGGCTTGGATGAATTGGTGAAGCAAGGTGAAAACTACGTGACACCTGCGATGGTGCCTAACGAGATTGGGCTTATGCCTGAGATCATTTACGAGGACAACGACCCCAGCTTTTGTTCAGTTTTTTCAGACTCCTTCGAATTTACATTCCAATCAACTAACATGTCTCTTCAATCAAATGACAAGCTACAATCTCAGGGAACCATTCTTAGCAGTGAGTTTGAGCACGAGAAACGAGAAACCATTCTTACAAGTGATGAAACACGGGGGTAAACTATCTGTCCTGATTGACTTAAAAGCTAAACAATACTGCTACCTTTCCAGCGGTTAAAAATTTGATCAAAGCAAACTGGTAGTGGGGTGAGGTCGGCTCAAGCGGGGGTCGTATCTGAAGCCATATTTGATGTACACCTCCCACAGAGAAACATCAAACACTCGGAAATCTCCAAGACCCTGCTTACTCGCCTCCTTCGCGCTGAAGGAATCGCTATTCAATCCCTTGAACCAGAATTGAAGCTGCTTGGTTGACCTCGAGTTACCCATCGGCGTAACATCTTCAGGCGCCAAACCATACGGCCTCCAGCCAAGTCTGTGCAAAAGAGATTCTGCGATCACATTTTCCAACGGCAAGTACCCATAGTAATAACCATAGAACAAGACCATGGTCATCTCATTCACGACGGGAGTCGTTTCAGGGGTACTTTGAATCTCGAGTGATTCAATCTCTTGAGCAAACTTCTCAAACAAGTTGAGAGCCCTGACACGTCCCCATTGCAAATTGAGCTTACTAAGGAACAAAGGAGCCTTCACCAAAGGCACACCCACAGAAGGATATAGTCCCGGGAACAGGTACGGCTTCCCAAATGGGCTCGAAGTAAATGTGTCGTACTCATTTCCTTTCCGCAAGAGTTTGCATGATCCGTCAGCTTTGTTGGAAGCAGTAAAACTCGCGACGAGATCTTGAATGCCCCCAGGGGAGCGCAACAAGTTTACGTCACTGAAAAGTTCCAGCTCCACAGGAGCCAAACTAGCATTTTTCAAGACCTCAAGATAAGCGCTGTATTCATCGTTCTTCGTTAGAAGCGACAATAACTCCGCTGAAGCGTTACTTTCGTCGTGACCAGTTGTAGACGCATGCTTGGCTTGAGCTGGTTCAACCTTCGCTCTCAGGCTAGCATTATCATCAATGATTTCGTTTTTGTCCGGACTTGTTTGCTTTGAGTTACTCGGGCTCTCGGAAGCTTTTTGAACACCGGCAGCAGCAGCTAGCGACCACTTCAATGCTCCCACTGGTTTCGATGGTGTGGAAGCAGGTTTGAGAGTGGTGATGAATGCCGGACTTGACGTATCAGAAGTTTCGCTCTTGCCTCCCGTAGGCACTTGTTTTGATTTCGGTGTTGACAGGGCCTTCTCGGCTCTGACGATGTCCAGCGATTGTTGCGATGTCAGTGGGGTTGTTTCAGGGACAGGGGATGCTGATGAAGCTGACTTGCGCTTCACGCTGCTTAGTATTGACAGGTCAGCGTTGCTTATTGTTTCGGACTCTTTTGTATCATGACCGTTCGATAGACTCAAGTCAAATGATTCCTCAACGGTACCGTTCACGTTGATATTGTTTTCATGATTCTCCCTGGCCTCCTTGTAGAGTTCATCATAAACAGTTTCATCGTCCATAAAGTCAGGTTCCTGGTTAGATTCAACATAAAAGTTCAAATCATCTTGGATAGCCAAGACCAGCTCTCCGGCGATTTTTCCAGATGTGAGGAACCCTAGAAGGCCCTCAATTTTCTCAAGGTGGAATTCATTTTTTGTCTTGAAGCCCTCAAGTTCCAGTTTGCGTTCCTCAATTGCCAGCAGATTGTTTTTCC